GCCAAAGAGGTCCAAATCCATATATTTATGGATGCTAGTCAAGTTACATTTGCTGCAGCAGTGTATCTGCGAATTAAACATCAATATGCAGTCGATGTAGTTTTTGTCTGTGGTAAGACTTGCACAGTGCCTAAGAAATCTCTATCCATGCCAAGGTTGGAACTGCAGGCTGCAGTCTTGGCTACTCGATTATCAAAGCTGGTGGTGGACAGACATGACATAAACATAAGCCGTATAGTATTTTGGACTGATTCCAAAACCGTTCTTTGTTGGGTAAAGTTAAGAAATCGCCGATTCAAACCATTTGTTGGGCATCGTATAGCTGAAATATTGACCTCAACGAAAGAAGACCAATGGAGATGGGTGCCAACTAAGATGAACGCTTCTGACGCTGCAACAAGAGCCAAAGAGGTGCCTAAAGTAAACAATGGCAATATTTGGTGAAAAGGGCCAACCTTTTTACGTCAAGAACAAAATAGCTGGTTTGCTACATTTTCGTTTTATACTGACACGCCAGAAGAAGAGATTACGACACCGATATTACTACAATATCAGGCCAGTGGAACATTGATAGAATTTAACCGTTTCAGTTCTTTTTTAGACTTAAACGTTCTGTTGCCTCATTCCTAAGAGCTATTGAAATATTCCGTAGAAAACGAGATCCACTATTTATAGAAGAGTGTAATAATTTGCAGTCGTTGCCACCGTTATTACCAAGTGAAATCAATGAAGCCGAAAAATTTATAATGCAACTGATACAGGAGGATTGTTTTTCGGAGGAAAAGAGTCTACTTAAGCTTCAACAACCTCTTAACAAAAAATGCAAACTATACAAATTAACGCCATACGTAGACAACGAAGAAATTATTCCTGCAGGTGGTCGCCTGGACGAAACCATATATCTGCCTCTTGAAGCTCGACGCCCTATTATATCGCCAAAACGCTATGTTTCACATGCTTAACAGTACGTGATGTGCATATAGACATCGTCGATAGCTTATCAACTGATGCGTTCCTAGTATGTTTCCGCAGTTTTATTAACCGTCGTGGTACACCGGTCAGAATGCGTAGTGACAATGGCACCAATTTTATTGGGGCACAAAGGGAATTATGTGCTGATAAAAAGTTTCTTAATGTTAATGATATACGTGAGGAAGCCACTCAACCTGGAATTGATATTCAATTGTCCGCAGAATCCCAGTGCAGGTGGTTGCTGGGAACGCCTTATAAGAATGATCAAACGTCTATTATTCAAGTCAATCAGAGAAGAAGCACCGAAGGTGGAAACGTTAAGGGCAGCACTAATTGAAGCTGAAAACATCATTAACAGCCGGCCGCTTACAGGCATTCGTTTGACGCACAGCGAGCAGGAGCCACTCACACCAAATCATTTCTTGTTAGGCTGTGCCAATAGTACACAGATACGCTATAATGATGCCATATCTATCAGCCTCGGTAAACAGTGGCATATCCTCCAAGATATAAACAGCCGTTTGTGGAAACAGTCGACTACAGAGTTCTTGCCTCAACTTTTCGACGCCCTAAATGGTGTAAGGAGGTGGTGCCCCTCAGGGTTGGAGATTTTGTGATCGTTTGCGACAATCTGCTACCAAGAGGTCAACGACTCAAGGGTCGAATTGTTGAAGTGTTTCCTTCCAAGACCGGTCAGGCTAGATCAGCCCACGTACAGACCAAGAATGGTATCCTAACTCGTCCAGCCACCAAGCTAGCCGCTTGTCAGATTAGTGAATCTTGCGAAGATCCACGGGAGGGCGGAATGTAACAGCAAAAAAGCAACTCTGAGTAGAATTGAGCAGAATGCAAAATGCGTGTCTTATTTCATTCGTTATATGATTCACTTGGTCAATAGTTCCATGATTTTCCCTAAAACCAAACTGGTGGGAAGGTATCAAGTTTTGGACGTCAGGGAACGGTTTTAGCTTTAAAAGAGTTTAGAAAGGCATGCCAGTAAGCTTATTGGCCTGTATGAAGAGTTAAGCGCGGGATCTTAACCTGATTTATGAATCATAATAATCATGGATGTTTTCCACTCTGTTGGGTAAAAGTCAAATTAAATAATGGCATTAAAAAGTCTTGTGATAAAACTTATGGCCAAAAGGGGTGAGTTTTTTATCATGATGGGTGCGATATTATCATATCCCGGTGCCTTTTTGCAATCTAACTCGTTCGTGATTATTTGAAGAAGATCATTGGCCGTGATATTCGTGTTAATAGATGGTGTATGTAGATGCTGATTGAGAAAATTATAATGTCCTGCGATTTGGTTGGAACACCTCCTTTAGGTAATCAGCCAAAACGTTAGATTTTTCTTTATCGCTTCGCGCTCAGTTTCCGAAAGAGTTTCTTATTGGAGAATATAATTACATTGCCTGACTTTGGTTTCCTTGCTTAATCCAGATTTAAGTCTCCTTTGGGCTTCCTTACGTTTTTGTGAAACTAAGTTTTCTATGTCACTATTTGTAAGTACTTTATTGTATGTGTACATTTTATTGTCTTTAGGGATGGAGTTTCTGCACATGCCTTTGGTTACAGCGAAGTCTATTAGGTCTGGTATTTCATTGTTATCAGCAGGCCAATATGTTGGCTGCCCAGGAGAGATTACGTCTAGTGCATTTTTTCTATTTACAATGGAATTGTGAAGCTGTTTATCTTTTGGGTTTATCTTTTGTAGTCTACTGCTGCAAGAAATCTGTCACCTACAGATAAGAAGTAATCCGTAAATTGGGTGTCAGTATTGTTAAAGCGAAGCGAGCCGATAAAGTTAAATTTTTCCCTTCGTGCTTAAGGCATATTGATGTGGCTTGCATATAATTATGAGCCTATGTATGTAAAAAATTTGTATTTTAGACGCCTTCGTATCAAAATACCTGTACCACCATGTGCATTGCCATCTGGGTGATTGGTTTTATAGAATAAATAACCAGGAATAGAAAAGAAATTTTTGTTTATTAAATGTGTTTCTGAGCAAAGCATTACATACACACTTTCTCGGGACATGAAATGTGTGAGTTCAAGTTTATGTTGGTTTAAGCCGCTTGCATTCCATGAACAAATTTTTAGAGTACTCATTTATTAGACAAAAACATTTGCATTAATTGACTTTGCATTTTAGCTATCTCGTCAAGAGTAGTTTGCATGATTGACATGAACTGAGTTAAACTCTGGGTGAGAGTGGAGATCATCATTTCCAAATTATTACTTTGAACTGGAGGGGCTTGTTACTTGTCAGATTAAACAACATTAGCTTATGAAACACCTGGTATAACAGGCTTAGAAGTTAAAGGTTGGGGTACTTCAACTAATTTTATGGGGTTGCTTCTTGTAGGATTACGCAACGCTTCTTTCTGCTGTGCTAACCTGTGCTTCAGTTCTTTATAAATATAACAGCCTCTGTAGTTTGCAGTGTGATTTCCACTGCAGTTGCTATATTTTTTGGCGTTGGTATCCTTTAATGCTTTTTTATCGCATTCGGAACTATGGTGAAGTTCACCACAACCTACACACACTGTACGAAGAGTGCAATATGACTTAGTATGGCTATACTCTTGGCAGTTTGTACATTGCACCGGACCATTTCTTTTGTGGAGCTCCTCAACGCTAATTCTGCAGTGAAGTAAATGGGATGGCTCTCATTTTTTTTAAGCTTAGATACTTCCGAGTAAAGTTCAACTTTGAACATAGGTTGTAGGTTTTTACCCTTGTTAATAATGTTTATAACTGCTCTAGCGCTAAAGCCTTTTTCGCTTAGGGTATTTGTTGTCTCAATGAGTTCTACATCTGACTCAATACCTTTAATGACGACAAAGCGCTTTACTACTCTTCAGTTGGTAATGTGTAGTAATTTTTTTTGCTGTCCTCGAAATATTTGGTTATGACTCTAAAATTGTTTTCAGTGTCTTCATCACATCTATCAAGTGGCATCATGGGGGTTGAACAATCTTCCGACAATAATGGTGCTAGCCGATGTATTGAACGCTTCCAAATCCCGTTTTTCGTTTTGACATCTACAACTCTGATTCTTCCATCATTACCGGAATAGCATTTGATGATTCTGCCCAGAGGCCATTGAAGCGGAGGAGCGCTGTCTTCTTGAATGATTACCAGCATTCCTTCTTTGACGTCAGGTGATTGGTCCTTCCATTTAGTGCGACACTGTAGCTCATTAAGATACTCCTTTGACCATCTTGACCAGAACTCGTTTTTTAGATGATTCACCAGCTTCCACCTGGTTAAAAGCGATTGTTTGGTTGATGTTTCTGACCTACTTGGAAGGGCTGTTAGCGGTTCTCCTATTAAGAAGTGTCCTGGTGTGAGGGCAGCTGGGTCATTTGGGTCTGATAACAACAGTGTTATTGGTCTGGAGTTTAGCATACTTTCAATTTGGGTTACCACTGTTTCCAATTCCTCGTAAGTGAGTGACACGTTGCCAATAGTTCGCACCAGTAGATATTTAGCTGATTTGACAGCGGCTTCCCATAATCCTCCGAAATGTGGTGCTCTCGGAGGTATAAAATGAAAAACAATTCCTTGACCTGAACAGGATCTTATTATGTTGTTTTGAGCATTTGTGCTGTGAATGCTTTCAGCTAACTCGTTCATTTGATTTTTAGCGCCCACAAAATTAGTCGCGTTGTCACAATATAAGTTCTGACATCGACCTCTTCTTGACGTGTACCTAAGCGCCTAAGAATGCATCTGTGGTGAGATCACAAACAACTTCCAAATGTACTGCCTTCGTGGAGAAGCAGCAAAACACTGCGATGTACGCTTTGCATGGTATTTTGCCTCTAATTTTGTGGTGTATCCATATGGGACCACATATGACACCTGCGTTGAAGAAAGGTCTTTAAGCTTGGACTCTGTCAGCTGGTAGATTGCCCATGATTTGTTTGAACATGTGTGGGCGTACTCGAGTGCATTGTACACAATGTTGCACAATGGATCGAGCCATAATCTTGCCTTTTATTGGCTAATAATGTTTACGGTCCGCAGTGAAGTCCCTTCTCATGTAAATGTTTCATTATGAGCTTAGCTATTGGATGGTTATATGGCAGCAGCATGGGGTGTTTGGCATCGTAGGTAAGATGTGACGACGTCAATCGACCTCCAACCCTGATGACGCCACTATCGTCGATAAATGGAGAAAGTCCGTGGAGACTACTGCTTCCTTTCAGATCCCTTTTCTTTAAGAGTTGATGTCGTTCTTCATTGAAATCACTTAGCTGTATGGCTTTTATAATTATGAGTAATGACTCCTCCAGTTCTAATGGTGTCAAATTGATGTCGTTGTGCTTGCTCTTATTACGTAACCCTTTGATGAATCTCAACACATAGCCAAGAATTCGTTGCAACCTTATGAATGAGTTTCCATACCTTATCGTATAAATCATTTTGATTAGTTCATCATCATGTGAAATTGTAAGCACATGTACCTTCCTTTTGACTTCCGCTTGTATATGGTCGGATGTTATCAATTCCTGACGGAATGGTTGGGGCCAGCATTCTTGATTTCCATGAAGGAAAAGTGGCCCATAAAACCACATTGCATTCTTCTGAATGTAAATTGGATCTACACCTCTGGATAATAAATCAGCTGGATTTTGTTTAGTATTGACATGCCTCCACTGTTCCTTTAGTGGTAATTGCTGAATCTTACTGATACGATGAGCAACGAAAGTTTGGAATGTTGATGGTTCTGAATTGATCCAATGCAATGTTATTTCAGAATCAGTCCACATATATATCGGATGATGTTCATATTCCAAATCCTTTTTTACCTTTACTACCAATTGTGCTTCTAGTAAAGCCGCACATAACACAAGTCTTGGTATTGTCTGCGTTTTTAGTGGAGCGACGCGTGATTTTGAACAAAGTAACTGAACTGAGATAGTTCGATCAGTTATTTCGGCTCTGATGTAAATGGCAGCTCCATAGGCCCTTTCGGAGGCATCAGTAAATACATGAATCTGAGTATTCCTTGGTTGTTTATGATGAAATATATGTCGTGGAATCTTCACATTGTTTATTTCACATAAGCTCTGACGAAAATGGGTCCATTGAGTATGCATTTCAGCAGGCAGAGCTTCATCCCACGAAAGTTTTAACTGCCACAATTTTTGAACAAATACTTTCGCCTTCACTACTACGGGAGCCATTAATCCAAGTGGATCAAAAATGTGCGCCAAATCAGAACTTACGGTCCTCTTTGTTATTTTGCTGTGTGTAGGTCCATTAGTTTTTATTGAAAATTGATCAGATTTTGGTAGCCAGATAAGGCCTAAAGTTTTTACTGTCTTATGTGACTCACTGCTGACATCGAGATCCACTTCTTGATCTTCTGGAGCGAGTCCTTGAAGTAATTGGGAATTATTTGCGCACCACTTGCGAGGTTTGAAACCAGCTGTCGCCAATATTTTAATAAGTTGATCCTTTGTTGCAATTGCCTCCATGAGACTGTCTGAGCCACTTAAACCGTCATCGACATAAAAATCCTTGCTGAGTGTAGCGGAACCAAGCGGAAATTTAACGGCATGCTCTCTGGCCAGGGTTTGTAGGCACTTAGTTGCCAGATACGGCGCTGCTCTTGTGCCATACGTTACCGTTTTTAATTTGTAATAGCACAAGTTTTCTTCTGGTGACTCTCGCCAGATAATGATTTGAAGATATTCATCTCTTGGATCAATTAGTATCTGCCGATACATCTTTTCAATATCTGTTGTAAAAACGAAGCGTGGTTTCCTGAAACGCAGTAAAATGGATGAGAGTTCGTTCTGCACGACTGGACCATTATGCATGATATCATTGAGTGAGACTCCGGTTGATGTTCTTGCAGATGCATCAAACACCACTCGAAGCTTTGTTGTAGTACTATTTGCCTTGATTACACAATGATGTGGCAAACTGTAATGTGGATGCATTATATCATCCTGATTGATTTTTCCATGTGGCCGAGATGTTCGTATTTTCGCATGAAGTCAACGTACATCTTCTTTAGTTCAGAATTCTTCAACAGCCTACGTTTAAGACTAAAAAACCGATTCATCGACATCTGCATGGATTCACCAAGAACAGTTGTATCCTCCTTAAATGGTAGTTTCACGACAAATCGCCCTTCATGATTGTGGTGAGTATTTTGAGCAAAAGATTCTTCACATTTCTTTTCTGCATCAGTGAATTTGTCATCCGTGTGATTGATTTCCTCCAATTGCCAGAATTTAGTAAGTATATTATCCAATGCTTCGTCGTCAGCTTCGCTGCACATGCCACAGTTAAGTAATTTTTGATTACCGTTGCTAACTTTGCCACTGCATATCCATCCAAAAACCGTGTTCTGAAGTGCAGGTAGACCCTCACCTATTTTGATTTGACCAATCGATAAAAAGCTGTGATAGAATTCTGCTCCAATTAATAAGTCAATTTGATTTGGATTCGCGAAGTCTGGATCAGCCAATTTTATATTCTGAGGAATTGACCAACCAGAAGTGTCCAGACACTGTGTTGGTTGGGCTGAGATAATTCGAGGCATCACGAATGCGTTGATATTTACATTGAAATCATTAATTCGAGACTGAATTTTTGTTGTCAACTGTATTTTGTGTCCCTTTTGCTTCTACCAATTCCTTCTATCCATAACGGTGATGAGTGTAACTGCAATTTTAATTTTCTTGCCAGTTTTTCTCTGCACTCGATGAAATCACCATCAAACGTAGCTATTTTCATATTAACTGTACTAAGAAGAACGTATCCCTTATTTTGTGTTAATGCTGTGATTACAGTAGAAGGTTGATGACCGGGTTTCTCAACCAATGAATCTGATTTGACATTGATCGATTTGTGTGTTGTCTTGGAAGACTCTGATAAGTGCAACAACGAATTGTGGTTCTTGCTGCACTTGTTGCACCGGGAACTTTTGCATTCTGCTGCCCTATGGCCTGTACGTAAGCAGTTCAAGCACAGTCTAAGTTTTTGTACTGTCTTGATACGACCTTGTGGTGTTGATTGCAAGAATGTTTTGCAATAATATATCGGATGTGATCCATTATTACAGATCTTACAGGTTGATATATTTGCCTTTCCCATCGTTGTGGCAAGGGTTTTTGCTGAGCATGGCTTCTCCCTATGACCAATCGCCTCTAAGGACTGGAATCGTGATTCCAGGAAAATCATGAACTCCTTAATCGACTGAATCTCTCTTGGATGAGTCAGCGACTGTTCATACAAAATGCGAGTCTGCTTATCTAGTTTGAGGAGCAAACTATGAAGCAGTAACGGCGACCATGAATCAGTTTCGAGTCCCACATTCTTCAGTGCCAGCAATCCTTCAAAAGTAACATCATGTAGTGTCCTTATTTCTGCCGCTGAAGGATTGATTGATATTATTGGTTGATTTAGAATTCTTTGAATGATTGTTGCTACAATAATTCTTTTGTTGTGATATCGTTCTTGTAGCAAATTCCATGCCGTTTGATAATTCTCGTTGGTTATTGACAGGTGTCGGACTAAACCTTCTGCTTCTCCTGTTAAACTACCTTTGAGATACCACATTTTCTGAGCGTTAGAAAGTTGCTGCTTGTGAATCATTTCGGTGAACAAATCGTAGAATTGACACCACTTCAAATAATCGCCATCGAATTTTGGTATTGTTACCTTAGGCAGTGATATCCCAGCGCTGTCTGGTTTACTGATTCCTTGTGGTAATTGTTCATTATTTGCTTTCATTGAAGCTAACGAAATTAAAGTTGACTGAACCAATTCTTCTATTTCGAGGTACTCATCGAGTTTATATCCCACTGTAGTCGGATTGTTGGTGTACTTCCAAATTTCAAAATTAATGGATTCAATCTCATTCCATAGCTTCTCAATTCTTCCCATATTCACTTCATAAAAGGATTTCATCTGAACGCCTGTTTGACGATTGATGCCTGCTATGAGTCGCTTCAGTGATACACAAATTGCACCTTGCTTGTGTATCATTCGTGTTATACTCGTGCTATATTGTCCTTCCCTCGGTGACGGCATCGGTTGACGTGCTGTCGTTGCTGACTCCTTTGAGGAAAGTGTTGGAGGTATTTTGGTTGACAATTCATTTTCGAAAATCTGCTCATATTTTTCAAATAATCCCTTGATTTCCTGAAAGTAGTTGTTGGTAAAATATGAAACGCTCGTATCCAAATCTGGCAAATTCCTGATTTGTGTGTCGTTATGATCAAATTGTTCCCATAATTCGTTGAGTCGCCTAATACGCTCTTCATAGTAGCGAGGGGATGTCTTCCTCTCTTTTGAGTCCTTTTTGAAGTTAGTGATCAGTTGTTGGATTTGTTTTCCCAATTCTGATTGTTTGGCAATCAATTCTGCCATGACTTCCATGGTTGTAAATACAGCAATAACACCCTTCTAAGCAGGTTCACTGGATTGATGATAACGTGGTCCTTCTGAGCAGGTTCACTGGATTGATGATAACGTGATATTCACGGTGGATCACGTCGGGGTCACCAAAAATGTTCAATAAGTCGTTTCTTATTGAAACTGAATCGACACTTGAATCGATTCAGTGTTGCTTATTGTTAGGAATCTGGCACTTGAACCAGTTCCTATTGCAAAATCTGAATTTGGCACTTAAACCAACTTCAGGTGGATTCAAACTATATTTTTGAGCAACTAGGCACTTGAACCTATTTGCAGTTGAGTTTTAATAAGCACTTGAACTAATTAAAACGCAAGGGCTGTTTTGTATTGAATGATAAATTTATTAGAAAATGTTGAGGTTTTATACACATTTGGCAAGGTGTTGATGCATACAATTCCCATGATAATGCTCTATACCTTAAGCTGCATTAAAGTAGCGATTAGATATCGCTGAGCTTAGTCGTGGGAACGGTCACAGTTCTCATGGAAATTGTATGCATTCACAAATAAGAATATTACTTGCGTAATTTCCTTAGCAACCTGGTATATGCTTATAAACTTATTTTCTTTTAACCTTGAACTAAGTCCATATACCAGCTTGCTTTACAAACATAACTATTATTTAATAAGTACAATACTGACCTTGCACAAGCAAATTTTAATTTCTCATAATGTTCTATATTAAAGAATTGCACATGCTAAATGCATGGCTTATCTGCAGTTTCATATGACGAGCAAAGTGTGCTCGTGTGATATACAACTGTTGTTGTTGTTTTGATAAATTTTGATATCTTAACCCACCGTTCAAGGCTAAGACATCAAGTCTTTAACATTATGAGAATAAAAATTTGCTTTAACAAAACAAAAATAATAGAATATTATTAATATGAAATATATAATTTATAATATATTACTTAAAATACAAGATTTAGGCTGATCATTATTATGTCCAAATTGGACAAATAAGAATAATAATAATAAAAATAATAATAACAAAAATAGTAATAATAAAAATAATAATAATTAATAAAATAAATAACTTTAAATTCCAAATTCCAATGTTAGCAAGTGTGTTATTTTTGATATATTGTAGTGTTTTGTAATGGTGTGTTGTGTTGTGATGAATTGTGGGCTTAAAATTACAGCTTTTGAGGAACACGTTTGTAATAAAAAAATTTATCAGCACTTTTTTGTTTTGTTTATATATTTACAAAACCGCACTGATATTTAACAGTTTATGTACGAAAATTTATATATGTTCTTATGGTATAAGTATATTATTTTATTTTAAATTTTTAAATAAGTTTAATTAACTCAAAATTTCACAATATGTAAGTATAAAGGTCTTAGTAACAGTTTATGTACGAAAATTATATATTTTCTTAAACACAGTGAATATCACGCTATCCAAAAATGTGACTGGCCTCATGGGCAGAACAAGAATTCATCAACTATGGTATAAATTTTAAAGTTTACAGTTGTAAGCTTTGCGAACTTTTTTGGTCTGCAAGTGCAGCGAAATATAGACAGAGCATTGTTAATTTAATAGCTTAGACAAGCTAAGTCTCTTTTTTTTGAAATATTTTTATTTTGTATATTAATTAAATTATAGTATATGAAGTGTTATTGTTTTATTAGTTATTATTATATATTTTTTAGCAAAAAATGATACACACGGTCCGATGTATTTTAACAAGTTTTTACTTTACTTTATTATCTATAGTATAATAAAGTTCTATATTCCTTAAAGTGCTTTTATTATGTATAAAATATGATTTTTAGTATTTCATTCCTAATTTCCTTAAGCAATTAACATGCTTTTCTGTAGTGAGTCCTTTGGTAAGGACGTCTGCGGGCATTTCTCCTGTTGGCATATATTTGATTTTAATAGTGCCGTCGTTAACCTTGCTGCGAATAAAATGATAACGAATATCAATGTGCTTTGTCCGTGGATGGTACCTGAAGCTTTCCGTTAATTTTTGAGCGCTTTGATTATCATTAAAGATTTCAATTGTCTTACTTGTAACGACAACATCATCAAGGACTGCCTTTAGATATAATGCTTCTTTTGTGGCCTCAGATATGGCCATATATTCTGATTCAGTGCTTGAAAGCGCTACTGTACGTTGCTTTCGAGCTTCCCAACATATTGCTGCTCCTGATATAATGAACGCATACCCTGAATATGAACGTCTATCGTTTAAGTCAGCGCCCCAATCAGCGTCAACCAGACCATACAATTCTTCATTGTTTTTCTCGTACAATAGACCATAGTTGCTTGTACCTTTAAAGTATCTTAGAATTCGTTTTGCTGCTTTCCAATGTTCCACGTTATAATTTGAATTGAACTGGCTAAGAAAGTTTACAGCAAATGCAATATCAGGTCGAGTTGTAACAGCTAAGTACATTAATGCTCCTATCAAGCTTTGATAGGGATACATTTTCATAACACCTTCATCAATTTTTGTTGGTTTCGTTAACTTAGTGTTCAATTCTATGAGAGTCTTCACTGGTTTACAGTCTTTCATATTGAACTTTTCAATGATGCTTTTTGCATACTTCTCTTGTTAAAGAAAAACTTGATGCTTGCTTAAATTTTGATGAAACTCGATGCCAAGACAATTACTTACTATTCCCAAATCCTTCATTTCGAAATCAATCGCAAGTGCAGCCTTTATTTCTTTTATACGAAACTTATTGTTGCAAAATTAAGTATATAAATACACTTGCGACAATTTTAAATAGCTGTCTTTATTTTGAGCTTAAAAAATTTGAAAGATGATTAAGGATTACAGTAAAAAATTATGATTAAAAAATTAAACTAAAAATTTACTCACCTTTGTCTAGCAATCACAACAAGAAAAGAAAGAGAAAAAATGAAAAACGGAAATTTATTAAATAATTTCGAAATCTCTTTAATTAATTAGCAATTTTCGGCAACATTCTGCTCCCCGCAGGCGACCCCAATGTCGTTTGCGTCAACTTTGCCGATAACCAGAATGGCCAGCTTTACGGCAGGGCGCTCCAAAAAGCCTTTTATTGTTTTGACCTTAGCTCGTCTTACTTGGCCGTCTTTCGCTACAGTTGTCTCGATAACTATGCCTTTTACCCAAGTATTTCTCTTAGCCGTTTCATCAACTATCAGCACAACGTCTCCTACCGTAATGGGTTTCACTTTATTGAACCATTTGCCGCGACGCGTTAATGTCGGTTGTATCTCACGCACCCATCGTCGCCAAAATTGATTTGCAAACATCTCAGATTGTAGCAAGCACATCTTTGGATCGATTCTCTTAGCATCACAAAATGGTTTCAAACTATTAGTGCTCCCCAACAAGAAATGGTTTGGAGTTATTGGATCCTCATCTTCACTATCGAGTGATACGTAGGTTAAAGGACGCGAGTTGATGATCATTTCAACTTCAAGTAATGCAGTACGTAAACTTTCATCCGTAAAACGTTAAGATGGCGTAATTTGATACAGCACTGTCTTAATTGTTCTAATTAGTCGCTCCCACGCTCCTCTCATATGTGATGCTGCCGGTGGATTAAATTTCCAGTCTATTCCTTGATGAGCTAGCTTGTGTTGCATAACCGAGGAATCAATGTTCTTTAACTCCTTTCTTAAAACGTTCTCGACACCGTGAAAATTCGTTGCATTATCGCTGTAGATGGTGATAGGTTCTCCTCGTCTGGCAATAAAATTTCTTAAACACACTAGGCATGAGTCAGTACTAAGACTATGGGCGATTTCGATGTGAACGGCTCTGATAGTCAAACAAGTTATTATAACACTTCACCTTTTCAGTGCTTTGCGGTTCTCAATAACCACCATTGGTCCAAAATAATCAATACCCACATGAGTAAATGGACGTTGAAAGGCTGCTTGTCGTGCTGGGGGAAGTAAGGCCATTTGCGGCGCTTGAGGTATTGCCGATGAAATTTTACATACGTTGCAGTTTCGTCGCATCGATTTGAATAATGGTCTTAATTTTGGTATGAAATACAATTGTCTGACCTCATTTAAAGCAGTTTCATGTTGGATGTGATAAAATCGTTCATGATAGTGTGCACATATAATGTACGATACTCTATGTTTTGGCGGTAAGAAAATAAAATCAGTTTAAGGTTTACACTCATTCGTAAAGTTACTCGCTCTGTTTTTTACTCTTATGAGCTCATTGTTATCCATATACACCTGCAATCTATATAACGGACTGTTCCTTTCTACTATTCTCCCCATTTTCAGTGTCGACCAATCTTCAAGTAGTTCCTGTTGCACGCTTTTGTATATTAAGAGCTTCGCGCGCTCAATATGTTGAACAGTCAAAATAACATTTGTAGCATTTAAAACGCCACAACGAGCCTTTAGTTTCCCAATGTAGAGTAACCAATTTGCAACGGCACGATACAACTTGATCCGGGATGAAAAATATTCATAATTGAAACATGGTTGTGTCTCGCGATGATATAAAAATTTTGCACGAGTTTCACTGGTCTCCATCGGACCTAAGTCTACTTCAGTTGGCCACTTATCCAACTTATACAAGAGTAATTTATACTCTAGGCACAGGGAAGATCTGTTATTAATGAGCCAATGCAACTTAGATGCTTGGAGCTTCATCTGAATTTTTTTAGCTTCAATATGTTTACGCCAAGTTAGTCGTCTGTCTAGGTGAATACCTAAGTATGTTATGTTATCTGCTTGTGGTATGAGAATGTTATTTAATGAAATTGTTGGAGATGTACTCCGATTTAAGGTAAAAGTGACGTGTCTACATTTTAGTTCATTAATTTTCATTATCCATTTTGAAAGCCATTTCTCCATCCGAAATAATTGAGATTGAACACAGCGTTTTTGTTTCGGCATAAAATTGCCTTATCATCAGCAAACGTTGTGGTGACAACTGGACTACTTATCGGTATATCAGATGTGTGAAGTACATACAAGATAGGGCCAAGAACACTTCTTTGTGGAATGCCAGCTTCTATTGGGAAATTATTAGAAGTGTATGATTTACATTTCACTTTAAAGCTTGTATTATACAGATACGATTCTACAACTGAGTGGACATTTGAAGGTAATCAACATCAACAGCATATCTTATATATGAGCCCATTATGCCATACTTTATCAAATGCTTGTTTAACATCGAGGAATACCGCAGAACAATATTCTCTGAGCTCAAATGCGTGTCTTATTTCATTCGTTATACGATTCACTTGGTCAATAGTTCCATGATTTTCCCTAAAACCAAACTGGTGGGAAGGTATTCAGTTTTGGACGTCAGGGAACGGTTTTAGCTTTAAAAGAGTTTAGAAAGGCATGCCAGTAAGCTTATTGGCCTGTATGAAGAGTTAAGCGCGGGATCTTAACCTGATTTATGAATCATAATAATCATGGATGTTTTCCACTCTGTTGGGTAAAAGTCAAATTAAATAATGGCATTAAAAAGTCTTGTGATAAAACTTATGGCCAAAAGGGGTGAGTTTTTTATCATGATGGGTGCGATATTATCATATCCCGGTGCCTTTTTGCAATCTAACTCGTTCGTGATTATTTGAAGAAGATCATTGGCCGTGATATTCGTGTCAATAGATGGTGTATGTAGATGCTGATTGAGAAAATTATAATGTCCTGCGATTTGGTTGGAACACCTCCTTTAGGTAATCAGCCAAAACGTTAGATTTTTCTTTATCGCTTCGCGCTCAGTTTCCGAAAGAGTTTCTTATTGGAGAATATAATTACATTGCCTGACTTTGGTTTCCTTGCTTAATCCAGATTTAAGTCTCCTTTGGGCTTCCTTACGTTTTTGTGAAACTAAGTTTTCTATGTCACTATTTGTAAGTACTTTATTGTATGTGTACATTTTATAGTCTTTAGGGATGGTGTTTCTGCACATGCCTTTGGTTACAGCGAAGTCTATTAGGTCTGGTATTTCATTGTTATCAACAGGCCAATATGTTGGCTGCCCAGGAGAGATTACGTCTAGTGCATTTTTTCTATTTACAATGGAATTGTGAAGCTGTTTATCTTTTGGGTTTATCTTTTGTAGTCTACTGCTGCAAGAAATCTGTCACCTAGAGATAAGAAGTAATCCGTAAATTGGGTGTCAGTATTGTTAAAGCGAAGCGAGCCGATAAAGTTAAATTTTTCCCTTCGTGCTTAAGGCATATTGATGTGGCTTGCATATAATTATGAGCCTATGTATGTAAAAAATTTGTATTTTAGACGCCTTCGTATCAAAATACCTGTACCACCATGTGCATTGCCATCTGGGTGATTGGTTTTATAGAATAAATAACCAGGAATAGAAAAGAAATTTTTGTTTATTAAATGTGTTTCTGAGCAAAGCATTACATACACACTTTATCGGGACATGAAATGTGTGAGTTCAAGTTTATGTTGGTTTAAGCCGCTTGCATTCCATGAACAAATTTTTAGAGTACTCATTTATTAGACAAAAACATTTGCATTAATTGACTTTGCATTTTAGCTATCTCGTCAAGAGTAGTTTGCATGATTGACATGAACTGAGTTAAACTCTGGATGAGAGTGGAGATCATCATTTCCAAATTATTACTTTGAACTGGAGGGGCTTGTTACTTGTCAGATTAAACAACATTAGCTTATGAAACACCTGGTATAACAGGCTTAGAAGTTAAAGGTTGGGGTACTTCAACTAATTTTATGGGGTTGCTTCTTGTAGGATTACGCAACGCTTCTTTCTGCTGTGCTAACCTGTGCTTCAGTTCTTTATAAATATAACAGCCTCTGTAGTTTGCAGTGTGATTTCCACTGCAGTTGCTATATTTTTTGGCGTTGGTATCCTTTAATGCTTTTTTATCGCATTCGGAACTATGGTGAAGTTCACCACAACCTACACACACTGTACGAAGAGTGCAATATGACTTAGTATGGCTATACTCTTGGCAGTTTGTACATTGCACCGGACCATTTCTTTTGTGGGGCTCCTCAACGCTAATTCTGCAGTGAAGTAAATGGGATGGCTCTCATTTTTTTTAAACTTAGATACTTCCGAGTAAAGTTCAACTTTGAACATAGGTTGTAGGTTTTTACCCTTGTTAACAATGTTTATAACTGCTCTAGCGCTAAAGCCTTTTTCGCTTAGGGTATTTGTTATCTCAATGAGTTCTACATCTGACTCAATACCTTTAATGTGTAGTAATTTTTTTTGCTGTCCTCGAAATATTTGGTTATGACTCTAAAATTGTTTTCAGTGTCGATTTGGATTTTAGTTTCGTGTATATTGCCCCTAGTTATAGGAACAATAAGAAAAGTATTATTTCCAATCAGATGTGCAAGGATTGTGACTAGGTTATTTGAGCTACGTTCACGCAGGTATATCGGAGGCGATTTAAAATTTTTGGTAATAGGCTGATTAGCTTCCTCTGTAGTTTCAGCTAATTCAGCAAACTATTGCCAGAAAGAGTTGCAGCTTTGGCTGCAGCATCCCAAACCAATCTATGCTTTTTCGGTTTAAATAGATTGCGCACAATAAAAATT